TTTCGTTCGGAATCTATTTGCAGCACAAAGCTGGTGCCGAAGGAAAAATAATTAGAAGAGGTGACACACTGCTTTATTAATAGATCAGTATCGCTATTCTTTCAAATGTCTGTGGCTTATTAGTTTCGCAACTCGGAATTAGTTCATAATTAATCAAAATCACCAGTACCATACGAATAGGAAACAGATAATTATATCGAGGTCGCACGTGGAGAATGATCCTGGCCTAGCTGTGTAATCAAGAGGAGAAGATGATGAAGTGAAGAAAAATGACGCTCCAAATGATTTCTCCATTAAGAAAGTTGAGAATTTTCACAGAGACGTGTTTAGCTTTGAAAAATTTTGCAAAGCAAAGGGAATGCTATTTCTGTTAACTTTTTTCGAAAAACACATTGAGAAGCATTGGAAATATACTGCAGCTGACATTTTAGTTGCGGAAAGATATCGGCATTTTAATTGCGAAGCTAGTTTGTCATATTATTAAACAAACAGCGACATTTTATGCCGTATGTTCATGCATTTCATGCAGTTTTGTCTGGCGAACATATGCCATTAAAAATATTCGCTACTTTACTGCTTGGTACGTGCAGAAATCGTCAGAACCCTGCGTTCGAGTAAAACTTTTATTTTGCATACATGAGACCTAGAACTAAAATTTCTAGAATCACAAATGAACGGAAAGAATCTCGTGAAATTTCAAAGTTTTACCTTGTTTAGCTCCAGCCTTGAGGAATTTCTCGCCAAAACGTATGCACTCTTGCTCGAAACATAGGCGCATATGCGAGATGAAAATAAAATTTCCAGTGTCACACATGGGTGTAGACAATCCCACTCAATTCTAGCTTCCTAGCTTTTGTGACTCCATAGTTATTAATTGCGGCGTCAAAACTTTCACGTTGCCGCGGAAGCCGAGTGTAGTTGAAGACTGAACTTAAATTTGCAATGTTTTACATTAAGTAGCGAATATTCTCCTACATTTTCAGCTTCCTAGCTTTTGAGGTTCTGTAGTCATTAATTTTTGCGCCAAAACCTTTACACGGCCATGCGTGAGGACTAGACATGCATGGGGACTAAATTTAACTGTCATATAGACAGGAAGCATTCTCTAAAATTTCAAGCTTTTTAACTTTTGCGGCTCCCAAGTGAAAAGTGGGGACAAAATGCACTCGGACAGAACACTCACAAGCAAGGGGGTAGCAATATGCGTTTTGTACAGCTGTTGAATAGCACAAAATGTATAATAACAAATAAAAGTTTAACAAAAAAATTAAAAAAAACGGCAATACAGGGAGCAATTTTATTTGAATAGCTTAGTCTTCAGGAAGAGATCTGAGTGTCTGATTCAGCAAATGAGTACTAAAACTCGAAAAATTGCATACTACTTCGACCAGACATTTTGCAAAAAAAAATCTGACACAACTAACAACAAATGTGAGCTATTTTCCTCGCGAATACGCCGACAAAAATGTCCAGAGCAGTCAGGAACACAGCGAAACATGCTGAATAATAGCTGTAGGAGAATCTGGTGCTGTAGGCCTGTTGTGCTTCGCTCTTACTTGTGCCTAGAATATCTGAAATATCAAAATTATAAGTGACCAATGCACTGTAAGTGGCCAGTGCATTACAAGTAAGCAATGTTCTTAAGTCTAATCAGAAACCACTAAAGCAGTCCGGCCTGACCCAGCAAATTTGAGTACAGTTGCGTTTCTAAGGATCTTCTGAGTAACAGTTCTCCGAAAGTTCCTGGCTGCTTTTTTTATTCGATTTCCTTGATTTTTTTTTTTTTTTAGCGCGGTATAGTCAACACGTTCAGTTGGAAAGGTTTTCCGTAAATCTTAACTGTATCATACGACAGATAAAATGCTTGTTTGATCCGTTCAATGTTTAGGCTTGCTTTATCCATTTAACGATTGGGCACCCGTTCATCCATCAAAATTGTCAACTCAAACACTGCTTGTATGTAAATGATCTGTGGGAAACCACC